CCAAAATGTGGAACGAAAGAGAAACGGTGCACGTACAAAGACTGATAGGAATCGTCGAATATTGGTGTAACGGTTTTTGATTCAAGAATCTTTCCTCTGGATACAACCACGTACGTGTAGGATGGAATTGGATAATCTAATATGACCTCCATTTCAATCGGTTTGTTCATTTTGTACCTAAAGAAATGATATTTTATAAAACATATTTATGTTCACAATTTTTTTAAATGGTAAATTCGTCTTCTTCTCACTTCTTCTTCATGTCCGATGTTTCTAGACGTAGTTCATCTGTCAAATTGTTTCCAACTTGCGCACTGTTGGCAGTGATTGCAGATTTTGCAAATGTTGAAAACGTTCCCAGATCCGTTGTTTGTAACGCAAAGTTAACCTAAATTTTCCAATATAAATAAATCAATGGAGGAAAACCTGATTTTTTTTTATTGAGTGATGTCGATTATACGTACCAATAACGAAAATTTGGATTCGTGTTTAGCAATATGCAAAGTAAGAGTAACGTCACCATTCTCGTTTAATCGATGAACACGACGCAATTTTCGAGTATTTCTTTTGAGGCATTTTGGTCCTGGTTTATCTTCATAGAACTGTTGTATTATTACAGTTATGTCTCTTTTGCTTGGATCAACAAAATTGGGCACCGAACCGTTTTGCTTTCGAATGGATATCTAGATTGAAAATTCATTCAATTGCCCATTAATAATAAGTAGGTAAATAATCATTTTACGTACAGTTATGTTGGCGGTGGTGCCTTGTTCGAACTTCACATTGGTTCCTGGATTTGTGCGGATATCATAAGTAGTTGAAATTTCGATGTTCGTCTCACATGATTGAATTAATCCCGTTAGATCTTCTGTGACTTGTGCTTCCACTTGATATCGCTTACAAACATATTTTGGATCGAATTTAAGATCGTTTTTAATGTCAAATTCAATCGTTTCCTGGCCGTTGATGGTGACAGTTTTCTCCATCAATGAATAATTGGGGCTAAATCTATTAACCGCGATGGCGACTGTTGCCCTCATTGGCATGCCGTGTGTATAAAATGCTCGAACGACGACATGTGCCTTTTCATCTTCCGGCATGAAAATGCCCGGTGATTCAATCTCCATCTTAAACTTTGGAAGAACGTATTCAGCCACTTCGATTGTAGATGTTTTTGCCTAATTTTTGTATAAACACCGTCTTAGGCATGAACAAATTACAAATGTAACAACAAAACAAGAAACAAACCTGATCACCAACAGAAGCTGTGATTCGCCATAATCCCAGATTTGGAAGGTCTGACAATTGGTATTCACCGGAAAATACACCACTGTTGTTGGCAATGTTGACGCCATTCCAATTTTTCAACAAATTTTGACATGGATCCTTATCAAATAAAACAGAGACAATCGATTTGTTCGCTTGTACCCACGCAGAAATGCTTAGCGCCAAAATTACCGCCATCGCCATTGAAGAAGAAATTGCACTCTGAATCGAATTTTCTTCGATTCAATCTATGATTCTGTTTTTTTCAATCGCTTCATCAAATTTGCATTGTGCGTCGTGAATGGTCAAATTGAATGTGAAATCGGTATTTGCGCGGAAATTTTCAGGTGCCAAAATCGTGTAATTGAATTTTCCCGAGCGTTCGGCAGCTGGATGTACTTTCTGCTTGTTACGCAACATTTTTCTTTTCGATTTTCACAATTTTTGTGTCCAAAGCAAAATGGCGTCGAACCATTGCTTGATTTAAAGATGGCAGATGCTATCGATGCGCAATAAAATTTGCCCTATGCAATCGATTCCGAAAATTTTCACACTTGAATTCTTTATCCTCTGCAAACGCAATGAAAGTTTTGGATTTCGTTTCAGAACGTGAACACTTAATAACTTGTCTATTATTTTCTCAACTATTTATGCGCGACTCTAGGCTGCAGCATATCAAATTAGAACTTCTCCCGTTACGATGTGACGTTAGTTTGTGAACTTGTTTGGAAATATTGTGAAATAAGCCAACACAAAATCACAAGTTGATTCACACAGGCCGGTGCTGCAGCTATGTATGTACAAGCTTGAGTGTGTGCAAATTTCAACCGAAGGATGATGATGTGACTCTCCACTGTGTTTATGCAGTATACATGATATCAATACATAAATAAAATCTGTTAACGCCGATTTCTAATGCTTATGCAATCGTTTGTTACACAGCGAAATCAAATACAAACACGAGTCCACCAGTGTCCAACTGTGTGTATAAAACTGAAAACAAACGATTGAGATTTTCCCTTTCGCGCATCAATGAGCGTGCGTAACATGCTATAGATCACGTTCAAGCTATTTGTTAGTATTGGCATCGCATAGGGATGATTGCGGTGGAGTGAAAGAGACAATAGTCCATATTGTAGCATCTCACAAGTGCCGATTCAAATAAGGGCGAGTTTAATGCTGCATTTAGCTGCAAAACACTTTCGGTCAATTGATGGAATGAGCGTTTCTGTTGTATACATCTCCTACTCATAAGAGGCCTTTTTCTATGTTTTTTTGTACCTATCAATTTAAATTCGATTGTGAATCTGAAAATTCATCGAAATTCTGTGCTGATTTTATTAAAAATATTGCATTATGATGTTTAAATAATTATTGACGAATTTCCTAAGTGAATGAAACATGAACCTTTGAACTAATGCCATTGCTCAATATGAAATAATTGACAGTTAGAAAAATCGAGTGAACTGGTTGATATGATGACTCATTTATAACAGAAATTCATAATTATTTATTTGAAATTTTGTTGCAGGAGTAAACAAAACAACAACAGTGGTTGCAAAAATAAATGCCAATTCGGTGTTTGTTCCAATTGATTATTTATTTGGAATGTCGCCACTTCGTTTTTCAGGGCTATTCGATGAAAATCGACCGTATCAAAACGAACTGTAAACATTGTCTCGATTTCAAATGAATAGCGTTGAACAAAAATCGCATGACATTTTTGTTTCTTCAAATAAATAATCGAATGGAACAGAGACCGAATTGGAATTTGTTCTTGTAATCAACACCACTGTACAAAGTCATCATAAACTGGATAAAATTCAAACAGACGAAACCAACTCTAAATAAACAATGCTTACTCGTCAGATTTTGATGCATTTTAACCAGGTTGACTTTTATAAAACAGCTACTGCTCTGTTTTATCAATATTGATGAACAATTGTCAACTCAACAAAATATATCAGAACTTATGATATATATAAACTGGCTTATACGTAGCACATAGCCCGTTCAAGTGATCACAGAGTAGGAGTGAAATTAATTTTTTACATCACGGCGTTACAGTATTGATCATTGAACAGTGAAAACCGAACCATATCAATTTAGTCCAAGTTTTGAAATATACTGAATTGGGCGAACGAGGAATAACGCAACATCGTTGAACGAGGAAGAGAAAAAGCCAAACAACCAAAATGGAAAAATCAAGCAACGAAGATGTACGCAAGCTATCTAAAACATTAGATCTGGGTAAAACTTCAGACGTACACAATTCTTAATTTTCACTCAGCATGAAAGACACATTTAAATGGATTTAACTAATGGTTTTGATTTTCGTTCGTTGCGTTTGATTTATTTGTAATAGCAATGAAGCATCATCCATCGTTGAGAGCATTACTGGAGGGTAATAAAAGACGTTATGAAGAGAATCCTGTGCTGTACGAGGCTCTTCTGAAGTTCCCGACCTTGCAACAGTTGAGAAGTAATATGGAAAAAGATCTCGAACGACGTGAAAAGCAATCGAAGAACTCAAACTAAACTTCACGTCGATGACATAAAAAAAAATCCACTGAAGTCGAGTATTTGAACATTATCTGAAGAATGAACGGAAAATAAAAAGTGATAAAATGCAATAAAGTGGTGAATAAAACGAAAATTTGCGTTTTAAATCATCGGTCTTATTTTGGTTATTCAGTTTGATTGAAATGTTATTCAAACAAACAACATTCAAAATAGTATGTTTTGATACCGATTCATATTTTTGTCTTGAAAAACTTCAGGGAGACCTTAACAAAATTAAAAGATGATTTCAAACGCTTTCAGTATGAACAATAAATTGTTGCATGTGACATCTGTCCGAAAAAAAATGAAACAAAGTAGTTTGCTTGGAGCATTATAATCATAAAAAAGCTCGAAACAATGGAAGGACCAAATTTAAACGTAAATTGGCAATAAAATATTTCATCGAAATGTAAGTTAATCTCGCTAATGAGTGTCTGGATTAGCAATAGTTGTAAAATTGCTGTTCATTTTTGGTGAATAATATAACGGTTTAAATTGTTCGGGTAATATTTCGAGCTCTTCTCCGAATTGTACTGCTTCAGAATCCATAAAAAATGGATAATCCGCCGAGGGAAAAATATACAAATAAAACAGAAAATAACAACCACTTTAATCCCTCGCCAGTCAACACAGCATGGTGTCACATGAAGATTTTCGTGACAGAGATGTAATTATGCATCGATGCTGCAGTGTTCCAGGTAGCAATACCCGCCCATCAAATTCCACCATAACAGATATTTATATAACTAGCTCATTTCTGTCCTCAGTATCAGTCTAAAATAATATTTTGAAGGAGAAACATCTATGAGTTTATACGAAAATGTTTAAAATCAAAGACGAACCCGATTGGGGGCTGTACGAAGAATTGATATATAGAAACGTTACCTGTGGAATCAAAGATAATGTTAGAATCAAACACGAGCCAGATTCGAAGTTGAATGACCACCAAGTGATATATAGAAACGGAGAAAGTGAAATTGAAGACGATGTCAGCTACTATCAACAACTATACTTATACATTGTGGAAAAAAATTAGAAAGGATATAAATTCATTTCGAGCAAAACAAATACGAATTTTTTTCAATTCGTTCAGTCCTGGGTGCAGTTATATTGCGGTATTACTCTTGGTAGTCTAAGGGTTACTCATCGGATAATAACATTGTAGTCGTAAATAGGAATAAAATGTGTTATTTTACTTTTTATTATTATGATTTCATGGACTAAGAAAAGAATAAAATGCTACCGATCGGTGTACAAATGGAACACAAATTAGGTATTTTTTTTCCCAATAATTCATCGAATTGTTTTCTCTAAGTGGTTCTTTTACCAACTGATAAAAATCCTGAGGTATTCGAAAAGTATTTCGCATTTGAGTCGGTTGATTTTTCAGCTGCTTGTGGATTAACGATTTCCAAACCTTGCAGCGGCGTGAATGCAACACTCGATGCCGTTCCAGAAATCTGTTTACGGACGGTTGTGTTGCCACCATAGACTTGTTGCTTCTGTAAATTTTTCTGCAATGTTTTACTGATGCGCACTTTCGTTTTCTCATCGACCTGTGGCAAGCGAACTCGCCCCGTGCCCGCCTTACCAATCGTGCCTCGTGAGTAGCCCAAGTCATCTTGATAAGCGTCTTCTTCGATCTGAAAAAAGGTGGCAATTGTATTAAATGTTTCACCAAAGAATAAATTAAAATATCAATTAAAGTATCATAGAAACATGGGTGTTGAATGTCATTCAACGCCACTAAGCTGTAGACATCTCTCTCCGGCTATACGGCAAACAACAGAACCAACACTGAACATGAAAATGAGATGTTCAATTGTGTTTGTTTCGTTAGTTTCAACTGTGCCGCTACGAGAGGTCACTTTTGTCGTTTCTTGTTGTTATTTTACTTGTAAAATCAATGGTATTAGACGGGAATGCATAGAAAGGGCTTACATCTCCAAAGTTCAAACGATTGGCCTGTTTGCGAAACTCGGTCATTGCGTATCGTTCTTTCATTTTGCGAACACGTTTGCCACCACGCTTTTTCTTGCTAATCTCAATCGGTTTCGGCAATGGTTTGGCAAACTTCACTGGTGGCGGCTCTTGTAGTTTATCCAATTTCTTTTCGATTTCTTCCTTAAATTGAAGTCCAATCTCACCGTTAATACTCTCGTGGCTGGCATCGACACGAGCAGCCAGAGTACATTTTGCCGCTACTAAACGAGCCGCTTTTCGCCGCATATCCTGTTGATGGAATTGGGATTGAATAAAATCTTAGGTATGTGTCAATATAGTCTTTATAAAAACTAAATAAATGCACACAAAATCTTGGAGTCTAGAAATGCAATAATTTCGAATATACTCACTGGTGGTGTATCTTGGACGATTGATGAATAGTAAATGAATCCTGTGTGTGGTAACATTTGTGTCCTCGAAAATCTATGAACAAATAACGATAAATACAATTTTTGTATAATGTATTTCACCTAAATAACAAACAAAACAATCTTCGAAACAATAAAATTGTTAAAATTTACTTACCCAGCCAAGGTTTTCTTCTGTGATCCCAACAGAATCACATTGCAAGCCGGAATCTTGGATAGTTTGAACAGACCACCGGCCACACCAACAATTTTAGCCGCTGTCGATGCGCCCACAATCATCGATAGATTTGGAGCAATGAATGTCATGCGACTCTCAACGTATTCAAAGATTTTCGTTTTATAGTTGCTCAAATCGATAGCCATGTTACAAGCCTCATCAATGTGTCGTTTCTCCTCATCAGTCAAAGGTGTGCTGCAATATGAAAAAAAAAGAACAAACACAAGAAATTATTAATCACAACAATCCCCGAACATATGACCAGAAAAATCAAAACATACCCTTGAGTGGTTGAAGCGGTAACTGAAACAATCATAATCGTTGCTTGGGTTAGGATTTGTTGTAACTTTTCATTGTTTTTAATCTGTTCCAAGTCATTTCCCAGCTCCTTTACAGCCATCAAATACTCCATTTCGCCAACAATCAATGAGTCCAATTCAGGAAATCGCTTTTGGTATTTATTCTTCGTGAATTTGTGGATAATTGCTACAGAAAACAAAAAAATATATTAGTCGATGAAGATGTAGATGAATAATGCTTCATGATATCTGGATATTTGATAGATAAAACTCACAAATTTCATTGTCAATTTCTACCGCAATGGTGTTAACTTCAACAATCAATTGGTATTCGGGATCCGATTCAACATTGCCAATGATTTCGTTAGATGTTCTTGGTTTGGATGTGTACTCATCGATTTGTTTCAAAATGCGCCGTAAACGCTCCGAATCGTGAAGTTTACACAGTGATCGAATCGACGACACCTGCAAAAAAAGGAGAGAATTTTCTTAGGTTATGAATGAAATTCAATAAAATCTTAGTTAAACTGCATGTTTCCATTCTAACCGATTCATCAATTTCCATTTTTTCGATTGCATCTTGACTATCTTCTTCGTCACCGTAAATGGGCTCCTCTTTAACCTTAATTTCGTCATCGTCATCGAAATCATTGCCGATTTCTTCTAAATCTGCTAACAACTCATCGGCTAAAGACATCTTTCAATTATATTTATTTTATTTAAAGAGATTTTTCTTTCAAAAACACGAACAATCCAAATGAAACACTAATTTGTTTTGCCTCTCAGTCGTTTGGTCGTCTAATGCTGCATTTTAAACGTATAAACAAGTCAATGGCAAAGAACTGTCAAAAAAAATGAATGTCGGTGTTTTGACTGAATGTGTGCTGTTTAGTAGTGCCATATTCGTTCGTTATTTTTCCTAGTAAGCATTTATGTTTATCTCAAAATTTTGTCGATAGAAAAGTCATAGAAATTTTACGAAAAATTGTCCGCTATCGTATCATATTTGGTATGAAATTCCTGGTTGATGGTTGTATTGATAACCGGAATTCGTTCACAAACGCAATTTGTGCGGATGTGTCAAAGGCTATTTGATATGAAATAGCATACAAAACACATTTCATCCATCAAATCGACGTTTTGACGTGTCGTCGATTTACAGGCTACCGTGTTTATTTTCTACTGTTTAGTGTGTGTGCTTAGTAAATATTGTCCTGTTGTGTTACATTTTCTACGGTTGAGTTTGCATGCGATCGCTTTGAAATATTGTTTTTTTTGACACAGCGCACACTTCCGCCCCCTGAATAAAAAAAAATATTCCACGCAATCGATTTTATATGACGGAGATTTTGAGCCCGAATAATTATCGACTGTAATCATGAATATGCTGGAAGTTTTACGCCGCTTGGATGCATATCCAAAAACACTGGAGGAATTCAGCCAGAAGACTGTTTGCGGCGCGGCTGTTACGTTGGTTAGCTCAATTATTATGATATGGCTGTTAGTCTTCGAATTTTACGCTTACCTCACGCCCGACATCACCGAGGAACTGTTCGTGGACACAACCAGAAGTCACAAACTTAAGATCAATTTGGAACTGTGCATCCCAACGATTTCATGCAATTGTGAGTATGGCAGTGGACCTTTTCAAATTTTGATGTACTAATGGAATGATTTTAATACGAAATCAATTTCAAGATTTGAGCTTGGACGCGATGGATTCAGCCGGCGACCAACATTTACACATTGACCACAATATCTATAAGAGAAGAGTTGATCTCAGCGGCGTTCCGATAGAAGAAGGAAAGAAAGAAGAAATTGCCACATCGACAAAGAAACTTCAAAACGTATGCACATTTTTGTTGAGTTAATTCTTATGCGTAAATCAAACTTGAATTGTTCGTTTATTTTTGTCATAAAAAGGTCACAGCGGCACCATTCGGAAAACCCGAATGTGGATCTTGCTATGGAGCCGAAGTGAATTCAACACATTGCTGTCAAACTTGTCAAGACGTAATTGATGCATATCGCGAGAAACGATGGAATCCAGAGCCGGAAAAATTTGAGCAATGTACGAGTAGTAATTTCGTGTGGAAAAAAATGAAGAAATATTTATTGGCTTGCATTGAACTCATCTCAAAATTTTTGTTTACCTTTTTGTTCTCGTAGGTAAACGTGAAAATTACGTTGACAAGGAGGGCGAAGCGAAAAAATTGGCTCTCACCGAAGGATGCGAAATCTATGGATATCTCGAAGTGAACCGGGTATGAACATATGGAAAGAAAAAAAAAATCGCTTATCACATTGATCATTGATTGCGTCATTTTTGTGTTTTATAAACTATATATAGATGGGTGGCAGTTTTCATATAGCTCCCGGCAAAAGTTTTTCGCTAAATCATATTCACATTCACGATGTGCATCCTTATTCATCGTCATCGTTCAACTTATCGCATGTTGTGAAACATTTATCGTTTGGCGAGCGAATCAATTTTGCAAATACGCATCCGCTCGACGGCATGGAAGTGTCATCCAATGAGAGTAAGTGTCAAAATGGTGTTGTTTTTATTTTTCATTTCGGTTTTTATTTTAAATATACAGAGCTAACAAAGCTAACGTTTGAACGATGATTCGATGTGAACGAATTGCATTCACATCGTTTGCGCTAATCCAGAACAAAATGCATGTGTAAAAGTCCTAGCACCGGATACCGGTACCGATAGCCATAAACGTGCCGAATGTGCCACCTCCTTGAATCATTACTTTGCCCACGTTATTGATCAACTCACGTCCTCGCAAACCGTATCTAGAATGTTCGAATGAAACGCATTGCGAAATTGATTACATTCAAAATGTGTGTTGATATTATATGCGCATAGTAACACATACCTCAGTGCACTGAAACCGCCGAACAAAGCACCACTCGCCATTCCAACGCAAAAGCCAATTGTGAATCCAGTTTTCATTTTAGACCAACATGTTGGCGCTTGATTTGCTCCGTATACACTCCCTGGAACAGCCGGCATTTTTTAAACAATTTACTATTTGTTTGTGAACACTCAAGTGGCTCTTGTTTCTTGTTTCCTTATAAATAGAGAATGTGGTTCGTTTTCACTGCATGCCAATGATTTTTAATCAAATGACTGACATTACCAGAGAAATAGAGATTCTGACATTTGTATCCAACTTCGCGCACAAGAATCACACGCATGTACACAATACTGACACACGTGGACCAAGAGATGGCGCTGACATTCGACTATTTAAATATCATAATTCAATTTTTTTCCTCCGCCAAACATAACAATCATTTCCATATTAATGATTTCAAAATTGATTAAATTTTTCACCCTTAACCCTATTCTTCTTCTTTAGGTTCGATGATGTTTCAATATTACATAAAAATTGTGCCGACAATGTATGTCAAACTGAATGGTGAAACCATTCACACCAATCAGTTTTCCGTGACGAGGCATTCGAAATCGGTTTCGGTAACATCGGGTGAATCGGGTATGCCTGGAATATTTTTTAGCTATGAACTGTCACCTTTAATGGTCAAATACACCGAACGAGAAAAGTAAGCTAATCAATCAATTAATTTATTATTAAAATGTGTGGGAAATTTATATTGGTGTATATTAAAATTTCCAATCGATAATTTTGTTTCTCTTTTTCATTCTTTCAGTTCATTGGGTCATTTTGCGACAAATGTATGTGCTATTGTCGGTGGACTATATTCGGTTGCCGGAATTATTGATTCAATTTTAAATAGTTCACTCCATGTCATTAAAAAGAAAATCGAATTAGGCAAATTTAGCTAATTCACTTCGATATAACCGTGTAATTTGGACTCTCCAAATAATTTCTGAAATTGCGCAATTTGTGTGATTAGACACGATTCAACGTCGTGAATCTCGTTTTTTTTTTGATTTAACGTGTAATTTATTTTATGAACTGTAAGTTGACTTTTCATGCTTGAACCAAGCGAACGATGGCATTCCGACTCAAATAATCAAAATGTGCAACAGTCCGTAGCTTGAATAATGTTCTTTTCCATTAGAATGACAAAAAAAAATACAAAATGCAACCAAAAACTTCCTTTCAACGATTTTCGTGTAAATAAAATTTTCTTTGTTATTTGATAATACCTTGAGTTTTTGGACAAAGCATGCAATAAATTGTTCGTACACAATCATTGAAATATATATATTGTATAATATTTTGCAACGGTGTGTATAAAAATGGAGCCATACATCTGAAATCGTTGATCATGTCCGAATCAATATTATTCCAAATGTTCGATGAATTCGGAATATTTTTCCATTTAAATCGTCAGCTCAGCAATAAGTTAAAGCAATCAACAAGCTCATTTTTTTAGTAGGAAAATTACAGCGGGGATCAGTGACGAAAACGCTCCAGTACTGAAAATTTGTCTCCTCCATATACGCAATATCGAACTATTTTTTCCTAATTCTCGAAAAAAATAATAAACCTCTTATTTGTAAAATCTAAACAATTTGAATGTGTTGAACAGAAGGGCGGGACAAAAAAATAAAATCGACTTTAATAAGAAAATTTCTTCATTATTTCGATAATTTTTCCATTTGAACAAAACAGCTCAAGGTTCTCCGGTACCTTCGAAGGCTGCACTCAGTCTTCGGCTCTTGTAGTCGTATTCTCAGTAATGGTTCAATAACCACAATCCTCATCAAAGGTATTCCATGCCAGAAATGACAAGTTGACCAGATCATCACGGGGATTTATGACCAAAGCAAACAATCAATGATTGTGATGCCCTATCATTATTCTACTCTGTACGAAGGGATATATCGAATGAAACAGTTTTATTTTATTTGATACATAAATTAGAGAACCAATTTTTATTCGACATTTTGTCGGTGATTATATAATAATTGTTTCATTTGGATCTCCAGAAATATCCTAAAGCATCACTAAAATATAGCTTTGATCCATACACTCCGCGAAATAATTATAGGCGCACCTTCATTTTTTCAATTTTCTTAAAAATAAACGCAAATATGGTCGCAGTTTCATTATATTATTTTACTAAGGGCCATTTACGAATACATCACAAAGAGATTTGCCCGAAAGGATTTCTTATTTTCTATTTTTTGGTGATTTTTCTGTTTTTGGCGTGATGAAAGTGCGAAATAATTATAGACGCACGCATAGTTTTATGCAAAAAATGCAAGCTATTGACATGTTTGTGATTTGTATTGATATTATTTTTGGTGCTCTTTAGAGCATTTCTGCATTTTTACAATTATCTGTAATGCTGTTGGACGCCCCGAAAACGGCCAATCGGCCGATTCATGCGTGGGAAAATGATGGAAAATTCCACCAAAGGTGATTGTAAATGGATACAAAACCATCTGATATTTAAAGGATGGAACTAAATACAACATATTTTGCAAAATATCGGCAATTTTTTTCAGCATTTTGGTCAAAATAAGCAAAATGGCCGACATAACCTCAGAAAAAAGTACGAAATGACCATTTTTTGTGGGAATTTTCGAAAAAGTTCGAAATATTTTCACGAATTTTCGATCGAACACAATAAAATCGTCAATGCTGAATAAGTAGAGGGAATTTTGAGAAGTTACCAATTCTAACGATCATATGCCAATACCAATAATGGCCAAATGTACACAAACCTGTTTTTGAAATGCAAATATTGAGCAAAACTATTTTATTAGATGTAGATAAGTTGAATAGACACATTCAATATGATTTCGAAAAATTTTATCTTAATTTAATTAATCTAGGAACACTTTCTATGAACGCCGATTTGGCGAAGAATCTGTAGAGGTGTTGAAAAAATGAGAAAGGTATCATCCAATATTCAACACTCCTTAAAATACGCTCAGCACATTCAGCATTCACGATTTTATTGTGTTCAATCGAAAATTCGTGAAAATATTTCGAACTTTTTCGAAAATTCCCACAAAAAATGGTCATTTCGTACTTTTTTCTGAGGTTATGTCGGCCATTTTGCTTATTTTGACCAAAATGCTAAAAAAAATTGCCGATATTTTGCAAAATATGTTGTATTTAGTTCCATCCTTTAAATATCAGATGGTTTTGTATCCATTTACAATCACCTTTGGTGGAATTTTCCATCATTTTCCCACGCATGAATCGGCCGATTGGCCGTTTTCGGGGCGTCCAACAGCATTACAGATAATTGTAAAAATGCAGAAATGCTCTAAAGAGCACCAAAAATAATATCAATACAAATCACAAACATGTCAATAGCTTGCATTTTTTGCATAAAACTATGCGTGCGTCTATAATTATTTCGCACTTTCATCACGCCAAAAACAGAAAAATCACCAAAAAATAGAAAATAAGAAATCCTTTTGGGCAAATCTCTTTGTGATGTATTCGTAAATGGCCCTTAGTAAAATAATATAATGAAACTGCGACCATATTTGCGTTTATTTTTAAGAAAATTGAAAAAATGAAAGTGCGCCTATAATTATTTCGCGGAGTGTACTAAATATGTTAACGCTATTCCGATTAAAATAGCATTAAAATATTTTTTTCGGTTTATTCTGTCTAATTTTCGGTAGAATCGAAAGTAAATTTAGTAAAAAAAAAAATAGTAAAAGATACGATTTTCTTTTATTTTCATACATTCATATCAGATAGTCGAGACACTTGAGAATATTTTGGTTTTGTGTGTAATCAATTTAATTTAAATGCTACTTTGATTTCACTAATTAGTATTTCATTTGAGTCTAATAATTTTAAGTGGATTTGCTTGGCTCATCGCTGTTTTTGTGATTTTTATTTGGTCTATCAGAAAAGTCTTAATCAATGCTTTTCTTCTTTATTTACAAATAATCCAATTCATACAATTAGCTCTGTATTTATTTTGTTATCACAATGCCCTCACTAGTAATAATTCTACGTTCAGTTGACATTATGGCATCAGTTGACATTGTTTTTTTTTCCTTCTTCCGATATTTCATTCAGTTCGAGGGGGCACACATTCACTTCCAACATGATTTTTTTTTTAAAGTTTTGGTAAAAAAATGATTTTTTTTTCCAATTGCGGTAATTTTTCGAAGTAAATAGAAATGCAAGGAATTAGTTCTCCTTGTCTTTTTTTTGATTTGGTTTGGTTTAATTTAGTCGGCTTTGAGTGTTTTTCCCTGTTCGGCTTCAGTGGAATTTTCGCTGCTTTGTTCTGTGTGTGTACAAAAACAAACGAAAGGTCATGGGTAAGTGAACGACTTTCAAAATCGAAATTGAATTGATCGGGTAAATACCTTTTGTATATTTCAAGTCGTCATTGACTAGAGCATCTTCTTCTTCAGTCGATTCTTTCTAAATGCAGATATGAACAATTAAATGAATGATTGATGACATTGTGAGTGAATGTTGTGCAATAAATTGAAATGGAGCTTTAGTGCCGTTTCTTGTGCGACAATTATTTTTAGATAGGGTTCAATTACCTGTGTGTACCGATGGTACAAGATACAACCGTACACGAAAATAATCGAGATGATCAGTTGAATCAGCAACCAAACAATGATATTGACAGCTTGTGTTCGTTCAAACAATTCGCGTGCATTTTTGATGCAAAGTATGGCCTCAGACACCATGATAGCACAATATACCCAGCATTGAGTGCCGAGTCGCTTGCAATTTGGATCCGTTACATAGATATAGTATTGTCTAACGAACGAAAACAAAAGCACGCTATTTTTAGTATGCATTCAAAAGACGGTTTATGTGATGTAATTTATAGTCATACCTAACGGACGGCGCCACAATTAAACCGATAAATATTAAGCGAATGGCAACGATCGGATGTGATGGTGGCATCTCGAAAATATGCTTCAAAAAGAATGTATTGAGTTCGGTAACTTGCCAGAATACCACCAATTGTGACACTGACAAGAGTCGCATATACGTTGAATTTGGATCCAACCAACGCATCGTTGTCCAAGAGACTGGGGTGAATTGTAGAACAGCACGCTTCAGTTTGCCGGTTGTCGTTGAAATATCCCGAATGCTTGCCCATTTGTATTCACGCATCTCAAGCCTTTTGCAAATTTTCAAGCCACACCAAATTCCAAGCCCATTACAAATTAGTACATCCAAAATCAATGCATCCCACCAGCATTCGATGAAATTGGGCAACAAATGAGCGAATGTGATCTCCGTTATTTCCCACATCACCGAAATTGCCCAGAGAATTCCAACGTGACGAATGAGAATTGCCTATTGAATCATCAAAGACGATGAGTTTGTTTTCAATGACAACGATATAATTTGGCGCTAAAAAATTTGACTCACCTTGAACATCCAGCCCAAGAAATGACCGTAGGCAAACACATCGATATGCGACCAAATTCTCTCCAATGTCACATGCGAGCAGTTCACTCCGTAGTCCTGGAATTCGGAACAAAAACAAAGGGTATCCATTAAAATCAATTAAAATTAAATAAGAATCAATGTTCAATGTTACTTACCTTGTCCATGTCAATCTGAAATGATCGAAGACTCGGATCGAACCAATAAAAGATCTCCATGATAACTTTGTAGTTTTGGAACATTAGGAATATAATGAACAATAAATAAATAACAGAAACACCGAAAATGATCCGCCAAACGGCCGGATGTGGCCGTGTAAACGGTCCATTGGGAAATGCAAGCACCGATATGATTAAGAAAAAGAATATGACGCAGAGCATGCCAGCCCAAATATTCCCTTGATTATCCTGTTCATCGCTGAAAATGGAAAGAGCATAAGGAGTGTGTCAATACAAGTTCAAATTACGGAATTTCAATGTAACATAACGTAAATAGTGTGATGAAAGTGAGAAAAAAAAACAACAATAAAACGAGGGGCAAATATCACTGTATCATTAAATGCTTTGAGGTTATGCACACGCACTGTATTTCGTAATGAATCGTACGAGAACTATGGTTCTATATGATTCGATTGTATGGCGAATAGATGTGATAACGATGAGTCGAAAATTGGCGAATGTAATTCAGGAATAGACGAAGGAGAAAAAAATGAATGAAAGCATGAATGAATGAATGAATGAATGAATGAATAACTTACCGTACGAATGCAAAATACATCATCGATATGATTGACACGGCCAGTAGAGTGACTGTGTGTGGTTTGTAGAAAAAATCCAGGGAAATATCATCGACAGGCCGTTCGTTGACCGAAATGAATGGATCATTGGGTCGCAGGCCAGTGGCGCTTGGCTGCTCTGGGCTCGTCACGTCTGATTGAGATCGGTTTTTCATTTTGTGAAATCGATGTGTTTTTTTATTTAATGCTAATTCCGTTGCTGCACACACCACACGAAAACACTCTATTTATTTTTCGAATTTTAAAATTACTGTTACAGCACACTATTCCGAAACAATGGGACACATTCGACTTCTCATACTATGCCCTCATGCCCGTATATTTCATTTATTGATTTTGCTTTGGTTTCAATTTTCGTACTACGACTATTGGGTACCTCCTTTACTTTGACCAATCTATGTCCTGTGGCAATTGATCGAACGAAAACACTATTCAAGTACACCACATAAAACTCTATGAAGCACACTTTCGACCAATACCACACATTCAATTCGGCTGTATAGTTTTCGTAACTTATTTTTTTCTTCTCTCTATCACTCGTTGCCTTCTAATTTGATTAAAAAGTCATCTGCTTAACAGCAGATTTTTATTCTATGCCAAAATGTGCTTTGTATTATTAACACTACTCATGGATTTGTTGATATTTGTTGAGTGTGTCGTTGCCCATGTGTGTGTGGTTGTGTGTGTGTGTGCGTTTTGTTGTAAAATCCCAAGCGCGCATGGAATTTGGCTCGTTTTCTTTTTTGGAATTCTACTAGACTCTAGACGTCATTGTCAACTTCACTTTCAATGGCATCATTTACATACTACTGTTCTATTTGTATTGGAGACGGTTCTTGTTTCTACTTGCAATTTTGTTTTTTTCCCGTTTCCAATCTCAATTAAAATGCTAATGATATTTTTGGTTTCTTTTTCACTTTATTTTATTTGATTTTGAAATTCATTCGATGAATTTGTTCAAAATTAACATTCAAAGTGACGATAGTCAAAAACAAAAAAAAAACGATTTCAAAATTTTCAACGTAAAAACTCCATTGAGTTGTGAAACTGCTAAATGTCAAACTGAAATGTCAACATGACAGAATACAGACAGACAGACTTTTGAGTGAAATCATGTGCGATTTCGAACGGTTCAGTGTTTATGTTTAACACATTTTTTTTCTTTTGTGCGGTATCACTAATATACTGAGAGTGAAGATTGCATATCGCAAAGAAATGCAATCGATAAAACATTTGATGCATTTATCACGGCCAATTGGTCAATATTTGTGGCGGCAAATTGCGGTTGAAACACGATATCGGTGTATGTGTACGAAAGATGCGATTGGAAAACCACGCATATCGTTTGTTGAAAGTCCACCGGCATTGGACAAAGTTAAGGTTCGTCATGAGCTTCAAATCGACTGGGACAAAGAAATGGAATTAATCGAAGAGGAGGAGGAACGTGAACATGGTCGGTCGGTGTTGGCGCCAGTTGATGATGAAAGTAAAATTTATGCAGAACCAGTACTTCGGCCGACATTCAATTTAGCGGCATACGTACAGAAATCAGAGACACTGCAACAATTGATGAAATTAGGCGTGAATTTAGATCGATTGGATCAAACGAATGCCGGCAAATTTATTGCAAATCTCAATTTTAAACTTGATGTTGAACCATACATCTTACTTCTAACAAAAGACATAGGCGTACCAATCGAGAAAATTGGCAAATTTCTCACCAAAAATCCAAACATACTGAAAGAGAGTTTAGATGATATCCTTGTTCGCATCAACTATTTACAATTGAAACGATTCACTCAAGATCAAATCACAACGATTATTTCGAGAAACCCATTTTGGCTGAATTATTCAACACACGAAATTGATGAGCGATTAGGATTTTTTCAAAAAGATTTTCAATTAACCGGCGATGAAGTTCGTTTACTTACTGTCACCTATCCGAGACTAATCACGTCCAGTTTGAGAGTAATCAAAGATATGTCGTTCACGGTGCGAGAGGAATGCTGCTTTGAACCCGATCAAGTTAAAGAGATACTACTCAAGTGCCCGAAATTGTGGATGATGCGTAAGTACTTTGCATTAAGTATTTTTGTTTCATGTTCAGGTTCACTGAAGATGGATGATTAAATTGGTTTTTATACGTTCATTTCAGATCGCTTAGATTTTATGCAGCATTATGATTTCGTGTCGCATCACATGAAAATTGACAATACACACATAGCCAAAGACCCATACATTTTGGCAAGTCGATTGTTCCGAACAAAAGAGCGTCATGGATTTCTCAAGAAAATCGGCCGAGCCCAGTATAATCCAAAGTTGGAGCTTTATGTGTCCTTGAATGAAATGTGTAAAGGTACTGACGAGGAATTTGCTACGAATATAGCCAAGAGACCGTATGAAGAATATGATCGTTATTTAAGAACACTGTAAATGAATAAACTAACTTGTAAAAATGAATTTAATCGTTGGTTTTTCCTCTACTATCATTCCCTTTGTACAAGCTTAATTTTTTGCTTTAAGCTTTGTCGCTTAATTCGATATCACTTAAATCCGGTGACCAATGTAATACAAACCGATGATTTACTCGAGTGGCGTTTTCTACTCAATTGTTGTGGTTGTTGTTTTAGAATAATAATAATTTTTGCACATTTGTTCTGAGTACAATAAAATAGAATGATATGCGTTGAAGGCATTGGTATCATGAAGATGCAGAGTGCATAACAGATCGGTGTTAAAGTATAAAGACAGAAAAATGAGAACTGAAACAATTACCAACATATTCCAGAATATATTGAGCATTGATTGGATCGAAATGGGAAAGGCGGAGAAATTAAACATGGTTTGCATTTTATTGTCATTTTCTTTTATTTATTTTTAACATTAGGAGGAATAAAACGAGTGTTGTTGTGTTTGTGTATGCTCGTTATGTTGTTTATTTGCGAGTGGTGAAACCATCACCAGTTGGATCCAAAATCCATGGGTAGTTGTTTGGGCATTCCATGCATGTGAACAGACGCAATGTTTCGCCAGGCAATTCGCGTGTCGTCAATGGACAGGCATTTGGTAGTGAGCAGTATGGTTGACCCTTAACGTCACACTTATCTGATTGTGGTAAGAGAAAGAAGAAGCAAATTAGTACATGAATAAGAATGAGTGCAGTCATAAGTGTGGAATAAATGCATGCGATGATATTACCTTTCCAGTCTTGGAAGTCACGCAATGCATTCAGTTCAGTTGGGTTTTGCATCCATTGGATGACTTGTAACATATTAACAAAGAAAACGTCGTTGCGGCCCAACATTTCATCGATGAACTTGCCCAATTCTTCGCGGAACTCTTTCTTAGATTTCAACCATGAGGCGTGGAAGTGCAAACCGAGTGGAGCACGGTTGGTATTGTAGTGGCTAAAAGGAATATTAGTTGATTAGTTTCATTGAAATTCTCTGTTAAACTAACTGTCACCGGACAAAAAACACCAACCGGTTGAAGTTGTGACGGAGAAGACGACCGAATTGTTCACCGGTTTGGATGTTTGAGCACGAATCGACCATATGACAACCTGGCAATGATTCATCGAAAGTTGGATCATCACGACGATCCAATTCATTCATGACCATTTCCCAGATTGGATGTGAACGTGATGGGCAGTTGTGGGCATTGCCGTTACATTTGTGTGGCATACGGAAGTACAAGGTGTATGGCCAAATTGGAACACGTCCCAATGAAGCAGTTATCGAGGCATCATAGATGAAAAATTGATCGGCCATCATTTCGAATTGTTTGTTACCACCGACACGCAAGTATGGGGCACGGACACCAACAACGGAACTGTCGGTGATGTTAGCAAAACGTTCCAAAATCAAACGAGCACCAGCCATTTCGGCGAGCCAGTCATCGTATGTACCGTGGCTCCAGTAGTTTGGATCATCTTTGTGTGTCAATGAGAATGATGAGATTTCATGACCGCGACGGTGCAAATCTTGAATAGCTGAGTAGTTCGAGTATTTGTGTGATACAAAGAATGTTCCCTTGATTTGGCAACTGTTTGGATTTTGACGGTTTCCATTGAAAATTTCTTCGTACAAATCGATGTTGTCAACGTTGACGGCACCGTTGAATGTAATCGTGATCATCTGTGGCACTTGAGATGGTTCAATGTTTCCGGGAATACGGGTTCCATCAGCCGAACAGAAACAGTCTGGAAGTGTACATTGGGTGGTGTCACATTCTGGAGCACGGTTTGGATCCAAATCGACGGCTATTTTATGAAATGAAGAGAGAAAAAAAACACACACAAATTATTTAGGAACATTTTTCAGCATTAAAATTTTTCGTTTCACAGATTTTTAATCGAAATGTGTATTTTAACACTTACTGCAAGCATTTTCGTCAGATTCGTCCTTGCAATCTGGTTTATCGTTACAGAATAATTCCTTTTCGATACATTCACCGTTACCGCAGGACAATTTACCCTCTGGGCAAACTGGTTCGTCGGTTTTAAGGATTGGCAACACTTTGCGTGGTTCTGTTTGTATGCAAAGTGACATTCGACGAGAAGACGAACAAAAAAGAGAAAACGAAAAAGAAACGTGTCATCAATGAAATTGAAGTAATGCTTTAGATGTGCTTTAAAGTGTTTAATACTAAATGTCAGTGGAAAAAAAAAATCAATGAAGACAAGGAGGAACGTTTACAACTAGGAAATTAAACGGAAAAAATAGAAATAAAAATGGATTTGAAATGGCTTTTAAACATTATTTACATACATATGCTATTTGATTAAAATGAATAAATGGAATATGAATAAATGCAGTAATGTTGTGAATGAGAATGTAGTATAATCAAAATGAAAGAAATAAACAATACTAAATCAAGCAATACACCAAAATGTCGTAAGCAATTTCACAATATAAATGAACGTACGATCGAACGTATGAAAAAAAAAGATCATAAATAAATTGTTTCACTTAGACTGGATTCATGGCAAAAGAAAGAGTGAGAATATGAATATGCTGCGCTGCGCTCACACCAAAGTGACACACCTGTTTAGTTTATTGTTTACCGGTTGCTTAATTGCGTTCGAACTTTCATTTTGATAATGCATTCTTGAATATTAACATCAGTCTTGCTTCAGTCATTTTAACCGCCTACTAAATACATAAATCAATCGAAAACATTCGAGTATTGTCGACTTCCATTCAAATGTGTGTGTGTGTGTGTGTGTGCTGTTTGAACGGAATCGATTAGAAAACTAATTGACAGTCGAACCGTTAATTGCATGCAAAACATTGTGTGCATGAGCACTTTTCAATGTTGAAAACCGATTTGAATTTGGAGATGAAAGTGATATCGTACGTCGCCAAGGTTCTGAGCACCAACGTTTTCCTTGAATAAAAAGCTTCCCTCTCAATGTACACACGGCGTTGTATACAACATCGCCGATCAAACGTGATACCGTAAATAGAAAAAGATTTCCGATTTTAGCGTGAACGCGCCCGCTGTCGCTTGTTGAATATTTATGGTGTATTGACCAAAATTGGTTGGATATGTGTGTGTGTGTGTGTGTGTGTGTGTGTGTGTGTGGCTGGCTGGCTGAAAGTCGGTTAGTTGCGATATCGGAAATAAATGTGCAAGCGTTCAATTTATTGATACACAAAATAAGTTCCATCGATATGTATCAATCGCAATCGGTGAGTAATTAAATTGCTATTTTTACACCGGTTATTTCTACATGTCAGCTTTTTTCCCTTCTTTAATCTTTATTATCACACACTCAGCTACAAAGTGAACATGGCAATTATTTCAATGTACGCATGCAATTATGCAATGGACAGCGACCGTGCAAGGGAGAGCGCACGCGAGAGAAAGAGACGTTTTCGTGCAAGTACCGGAATTCGTTCCGATTCGAAAAGTGTCTATTATACGCGCAAAGTGAGAAATTAGCACTAAAAATACGAGTTTTTCTTCTTTTCGAAACCTCGGCCAAAGCAGATCGAACCAATCATGCACCACACACTCGCCACATGATTGTTGACAGCCAATCGATCCACACGGCCACATTATTAACCGGATAATGGGCATCGCGTTTTGTTTGCATTTATGGGTAGCATTTTTGTAATATCTCTTGTTTTTTTTTGATTATCCATTTCATTTTCAGCAAAGAGAAAAAAAACGTGCTCAGCAAGAGAGCGGGAAATAAGACAGACTAAGAAAATTGGAGTACGACAATTTAGGTCTCGATGTCTCAATGCAATTTCTCGTTGCAATTTCCTATGTACATGACGATTATTGCATTGCACCGCTGATTAATTGCAACTAAGAAATAATAATAATATAATCACATCGTGTTATTTTTGTACAAAAATATGGTATGCATGCAAACTCATCGATGATAAATCTTAAAACTAAATGCTTAAGCCCAAACCAAATTTCATCCTGCTTTTTTCTCATTGAATCACATCAAAACACATGAAACATTCGGATTTTTTTTTCCCTAAAATTAAACTTAATTAGGGGGTAGGGGAGTTAGTTGCACATTAAATTTAACTAAAATTCACCACAGTTTGATGCTGTTGTTGATTTGGTGTATTTTTTGTTGCTTTTGTTTGGATTTCCCTTTAAAATACTTTTGTATTTGGTTTTGATTGTTGTTGTTTGGTTGGTTTTCTTTACACTTACTTTCTTTTTTATCGCAATTCGTTACTTTTACTTTCCAATCACACGTTTGTTTTTCAATGTCGAAGGCTAAACCAGAAGGGCATGTAATTTGTTTAAGTCCAGCTCGCGTACACCTACAAAATGTTTAGGGGTTGGATTTTCGGTTGATTATTTGAAAAAAAAAATTGTTGGGGTTTTGTTTGGTTTTGTTGTGTTATGTTGTTTCGTATATATATATATATGTGTTTGTTTGTTTTGTGATGAATAGTTGATTCAATATTGTAGAGTTTTTATCATTTTTTTTTTGTTTTGATTCAATTTTCGGAGAAATTTTATTTTTTTTTTCTATATCGTACACATATATTCGTGTCAGAAAAAATAATAATCTGATGCAAATAGGTCATTCGTTTTTGATATCCAAACGTAACAAAAAGTCTCAAAAAGTGGGTAACGTCTGTATTGTCTTCGTAGTGGTTTTTCTTCTCTTTCTCATCATCGTTTATGAATAAATTTGGTTTTCAACTATCTCATTGGATAAGACGAAGCCAATATACAAAGGTTAGTTACAACAATTCCAAATAAAAACATATTCGATTTATTTTATCAACAGTAAAAAAACACATCACTAATAAATAGAATGAAAAACCTTGATCTAATTGCTAATTATGACATGATCATTTCTTAGCAGGAATCATGTAAATTAGAATGACAAATTTTTGAAAAAAAATTCGATCGTTTCGACCATGGATCAACGTTGATTCCATTGTTTTTTTTTCTTCTTCTTCTTAACAAATGTCTTCTAATTTTCATGATGCTTGTATATTTTGCTGGTGCAATTTTTTTAAATCTGGATTTTGGTTTTGGCCATGCATTTATTGACAATTGCTTAAGGAATAAAAACAACACAAACTAGGTTCAATAATAACATTCAAATAGATAGAACAACTACATTTATTTGCGAGCATAGATAGAGTGAGAGGTAGAGAGAAAGGAACATTACACCAGAATGGCCATGATTCAGTGGCATAATGAATAAAACGACTCTTGTAAACAGTTTCGTTGACTGAAGCAAGAAAATTCATTTTAAAATTGAAAGAAAAACAAATGGAAAATCAATTATTGGTAGCCTATAGAATCTATAGTATAGATTTTCATTGGTGTGGTTGTTGTTGTTGTTATTAAACTATAGAACAAAATCGAGCGGAAGAATACATTTGGCATTGCTTTTAGTAAAATTCTGCGAGACACACAGAAAAAATATGTACTTTGATCAACGATGAACTCTTGCAAGTGTTTTTTTCTCTTTACATCAATTGAATGACAATATTTTGCCTGTGTGTAGGCAAGAAAGAAAGAGGTGAATCAGCAAAATTGCGAGTTTAATATACATTTATTATATATGAATTTTAACAATGAAGCTATAGTTTGAATTTTTTTTTCCACGATCTTTGTTTTTTGTTTGATTTTCTAAAAGTATTTCTGATTCAATGTTATTGATTGTACACAGAAAGAAGAAGAAGGGAGAATAGTAGAAGTACAGAACAGAAAAAAAAACAAAATAATTGTGTGTAGTGATGGTACGAAGGGGATTATTTTTTTAATCGAATGTCCGATAATTTGACTTACTCTCTATTTTATCGCAATTCTTAACATTTGATCTCCAGTCACATGTTTGACGTTCAATGTCGAACGCTAGACCCGTTGGACAGCGAACTGAAGCTAATCTCGTAATACCATTTTCTCCGGCATTATCACATCTTTAGCGTATCATTATGTTACGTGATTTTGATTTTAAATGTTTTTTTTTGTTTTGGTTTGCGATTTTTGGATTTGGTATTTTTGAAGGGGGAGGTTTCATGTGTTTTGTTTTTTTTTGGGTCATATAAAAGAACATTATTTAAATTTGATGAAATTGAAGGAAATTTTGTGTTCATTTCGGTTGAGTAAATTTAGTTAAAGACTTTCTTTTTGAAAATATCAACAATCCGAAATTGAACGAATAAAAATTAAAATTGAATCAACAACAAAAAATGAAAATGCTACAAACAAAAAATTAACTTTTGGTGTGTTTTGGATTTGACTTTTTTCTTTGAAAAGAGTAAATGACTGAGTTTATTGAGTTGGATAAAGTGTTCGTTTACCTGACTACATCACGGCAATCACCATCGGTTGTTGTCCGAAAATATTCGTCGGCTGGTCGGTCTAGGCACAGTTCGTCTGTGTTCAATGGATCTACATCTTCGTTGTCTTCGGATTGTCGCTTCTGTCGAACATCAGCTGCACGAGCTACAGAATAAAAACGAGAAAAGAAAACCAAGCATGCATTATTCATTATGTCCATATAAACATTATTGGCACTGTAAATTCTGGCGTATCGAACCATTGAATGACATTCCAACACTAGAGATCGAACACACAGCAATTGAAGGCTATTTGAGTCAACAAGGTTTTGGTGTTTTGTTCAACTTTTTTATTCTCTTCTTTAAGTTGACATAAAGTTCAATATCCATTTCGATTGATTATGTAAATCGATATGAGAGCTTCATAAAAAGAAAGCGCGTCGTCATATGTTGAATATCGGACGAGAAAGCATTGGTAAATATCAATAAAAGTGATTTTTGTTCATTTTTTTCGTCACTTTTGTTGATGTGCCTCTTCTTTCTTTCTTTCTTTCTTTCTTTCTTTGACTTTGCGTTTATGGTCCACCATCATTATTATGCATTATTATCATAAGCATAAATTATGTATGCGATAAAGTGCGAATTCGCAAGAAGATATTTGCGATATCCATGCATGTGCACGCATACATACAGCACAATACACAGCTGTCGCGACATGCTGTGATGTATCGTTTATACGGTCGCTTCTGTTTCAATTTGTGAAGTAAAAGTTGTTTGGCTTTCTTAAGTTCATTGTTTTATGTAATTTAACAACTGAATTCCGATGAAGCGTGCGTTCATTGTTTTGTTGTTGTTGTTTTTTTCAATTCGATTTTCGTATTTTTCAATGAAATTTTCACCACAGATAAAATATGTGGCGATATCGTTTTTTTTTTCTCGAGTGAAAGCAATTGATTGCACGAAAGAGACATGGTTCGTGTGCTTCAGCTGTAGTCTGGTATTTACCTGGCTGTTGTTGTTATTGTTTCAGTTGTGGCGTAATCTTCATTCGATTTCCTAATCGATAATAATTTAATAATTGGAATTCTATAGTGATTCTTGCCGGTTGCCATGTTTTGATTACATACGGTTTCAGCTGCTTTGAATGTAATCGATTCAATCAGAACTTTGTTGCAATAAAAAATGAAAAAAAATTGCACGTGAAAAATGCAAAAGAAACGCTATTACAACGATTCAATCGCTTATGGCTATTGAAGACTCAAACGAAATGCAATTCGGAACACGCATTAGTACTAATTAATGGATGAGAAACTCGGTTTAAGCCTCTTCGAATACAAAAATATGCGAATAAATAAAATAAATTATAAAATTCCATTAATACATAGGTAGTAAATTATCGATTGTGCATTCAAATTGTACACTTCCTAAACGGCAACTTTCTTTTTCTCCGGTCTTCATCATCATCATTATCATCATCACCTGCTTCTTTCTTCGTCTTTCTTTTCTAAATGAACTATTCAACTGCGATGAATGACGTTGAAAAGGGTTTTCCAATGTCGGCAGCTTCATATTTATGATAAACATATTGCCCATTTGCAATTCTGCATTTGAATGATTGGCTGAAGACGGAAATTTTTCGTTCCATCATTCACTCAATTGATAGGAAGAAAGAAAGAAAAATGCGGCAAAGAAATGTTAGAAATACATGGATTTGTATGAGAAGAAGCACGCCTTTTTTTAAAGTCATAGCTAAATGTTGCTTATTTTTGGCTCGTGTCATGTGACCGCTTGGATAATCCTTAATTTGTATATTTATGAGCTCGTTGAAAGTTGTTTGATTGATGCGAACACAATTGAGTTCGTATCGTCATCAATTTCGATCGAAAGTGAAACCGATTGATGAGTGAAAATAATAAAATATGCTAATGTAACACTACACTTTGGCAACGAATTTTTTTTCTGCGAAAATCTAAAACAAAGCGAAGCGAAGCGATATGGAAGAGAAAAGTCAATAAATACAAAATTGAATTGCAAAGAGATTGTGCTAATAGTCAACCGCGACACACACACATACACACATACACACACACACACACACACTACGGATGGACCAATTTTGAAGGTTGACTACTTTGTTTCGCCAGCTCACAACTGAGCTCGCCTCATTTGCATGAATATATTAACAATCGCTTATTTTTGCTGATTCGTACAGCTTTCAATATTTCTTTCTCGTTGTTGTTTGTTTTTTTTCCTTCTTTGCTGCCTTTTTTGCATGCTTTGGCATTTTTTCTTTCTTCATCTTTTCTTCTTGTTGCTGTTTACTGTTGGCTGCCGCGCCGATGCTCATTCTACTTTTTTGATTATGCGTGCGTACGTGTGCATACTATTATAGGGCACTGGGTAACTAGATATAGCCGTTGTTTATGTTTTTTCCATTTCGTATGGTGTTTATCTTAATTTCATAGCGAATAAATTAATTTTAAATTCATTGCTTCTGCGAATTGGTACAGAATTTGCATCACAGGTTTTTTTTTCGTTTTTTTTTGTCTTCAAATTCAAACACTGTCCACTACTGATTCAGATTGTTGGTCATTTGATTTGTGCAACCAAATTTTTTTTTTCCAAATGAATCAACTTCACACGTCAAACAAGAACCAATACAGAATTTTACACTAGTACTTTAGTCCCGAGTAGAGGCTGAAACACTTTTTGTTTTTTTTTATTTTTACTGTTGTTTAATTATTTACATATGTCGGCTCGCAAATTTTTACTTTTATCATTTTGAACTAAAGACAGTTGCCATTCTGGCAAACTATGTGTTCGATCCCCGTTTGAAAGGAGAAGATACGCGAGGTATAGCAAAAAAAAAAGCGAATCGATAGATAGATGGATAGATAGATAGATAGATAGATAGATACGAATAGATCAACTTACCTAACACTAAACAAATGGCAAAAGCGCCAATCAGCTGCAATGCACGTGCCATTTTCTGGCAGTGTTCGTTACGGCTACACAACTCAAATTAACAACAATAACTTAACGAAGCTATATTTATATAATATTATAAAAACAAAACTATGTCTACAGATGAGATTTAGGTAAAATCAACTACAAACAGGGAATTGAATGCATTAAAGCGATATGGCGTCGATCGACGAAACGCCAGTACAACTCAGTCCCAATTTGGACGAACTGAACAGATTCAGTCGCACACAAAACACACGAAATATAAAAAAAAAAATATATAACGCTAAAGCAACACAACGCTGTACGAACGTTGTTGTGTATGCGTGGTGTTGAGAGACGCGTAAATACTAAATGTTGTTGAATTTATTTCAGGTCTATTTATTAAGACTTTCACTTAAAGTGGGGATAGATGGATGGCTGAAGCGGTGTGTGCTGCTGTTGGTGTGTTATTTTAATTGTCCTAAAAGAAGTTGTTTGAATACACACAGAATTTGTTCGGCGGGCTGACGGAAGCGATGGCAACGTGGCCGGTGCCATACATTCATACGAAAATATTTGCGATTGCGATATTGATGCGTTTTCTTCTTCTAAATTTGCAAACAATCCAAATGGATTTTGAATCATTTCCATCTGTAAAATTATTACGCAAAAATAATAACGAATTTTATGCATTCATATGACTTGAAACTTAAAAATAAACGGCAATCGTGCACACTACAATTACACGCACAGTATACTGTGTATGTTTTATGGAACATAAAGTTCACTGAACGTTTATACTAATCACCTGGTTTATTTCTTAAAAATGAAATTCCACAAAAATAAAATCCCCAACTAAACAATTTAATGAACAAAAATCAAAAGTATCAGCGACAATGTCTTAATTAATCAGGTGATTTTGTTCGATAATTCCAATGCATTTGAATTGTGCATCTACTTTCATTTTCGTAATAGCCAAAAAAAACGACCAATCAATTATACTTTTTATTGCTTAATTTTCATTGGAAGCAGCTACAGCGGTCAATGATCATTTTCACAAATTATTATCGCTTCCTCCGAATTTTTTATGATTTTTGCCTTGAACAACGATTGCAGCAAAAGCGAAATTATGCGATTTCCATGGGATTTTATCATTAAAAAGCTATATACGGTGTGAATGTCATCTTCGTCGCCGAAAATGGTAAAAAAAACAATCAGTAATAATAATATGATACACAGTCCCTGGCAGCAAGTATATCTGTCGAAGATTTGTTTCCGCGAGCATAGATTTTGACAACTACATATCTATTAGTGAGATATAAAAGAACGCAAGTTTGTCCAACTTCGTAGCAATAAAGAGAAGTATCCCGGGTGAACGCGATAGGCGTTGATGAAAGCCTACAGTCGTTTGATGAGGCTTCCATAATTTGTATTTACATTTTAGATACCGAACGCCTAGGCTTTCATTGCTATTCTCACTTCTTTCGTGCATTCGTAGCAATGAACGTCTAGGCGTTCAGTTGTATGTGAAACGTACACAGCTCAGCTCGAAGCCGATACCGGGTGTCACACTCACACTAACGTACTGTGTTTCACGTACAACTGAACGCCTAGGCATCCATTGCTACGAATGCACGAAAGAAGTGAGAATAGCAATGAAAGCCTAGGCGTTCGGTATTTAAAATGTACATACAAATTATGGAAGCCTCATCGAACGACTGTAGGCTTTCATCAACGCCTATCGCGTTCACCTGGGATGTTTCATCGAGGGGCAAACCACTCAAAAGTAATACTGTGTATTAGTATTAGTTTAAGTAATACTAATGTAAATATTACCTTGTATTACTTTAGTATTACTTTTTTCAAACAATAGTATTATTTTTAAAAGGAGTATTACTTTATCAAAAGTAATACCATTTATACCTAGTATTACTTCGTATTACTTCGCAGGTATTATGTATTACTTTTGAGTGGATTGCCCCTTGTGTTTCATTGCAACTAATATTGTTCAAAAGAATGTATGTTCGTTTTTGGCGGGTCGTCGCGTGTTTGGACGGTTTCCGCGAAACTGATAACAACTTGGTGTCTTCAGCAAAGTTGTAGTACTCGAAGTCTTCTATTTCCGCGAAAGATGATAAGAAAAAAAAGAGGTGCTATATAAAATTTGCTTTTTTATGTGCACGATTTGCGCGCAACTGAGAAAAGATAAGAGGTAACTGTCTTCACTTTGACTGGTATATACAACAAATAATATATCATGCCTTAAGAATCAATGAACGTACAGTAAACATGATCACGAAAAACTGAAAACTATTAAAATTGTTAAAATTTGACATTTGGAATATTTCTAATCATTTTGTATCAATGTTTTGGTTTTCAAAAGGCAGTTTTTATTATGACGTATATATATATATATATATTTACGTTTCAGGAATGGTATATTAATGTCTACTGATTTGCAACACTAACAAGGATACATCACTGTGGGTTACACTCAGCGAGCGAAACCATATATGCCACAGGATAGGCCTTCGATAGAAACGTCTCACACCACTCTCCGTTTGGGCCCATGCGAACTACTTTTTTTCGCTACATCGATTTGAAAATTTCCATATATAGTAGGGCGGGTCGATTTTTTTTTCGACCAAATACCTATGATTTCCGTGTTCTATGGGTCATTCCAAGAAAATTTGCCCAAGGAACCATATCTCTATCGTTAAAATCGAGTCTGCAAGTTTTTTCCTGTAAGTATTTTGCGCACCTATGAAGTGTCAATTTCATTTTCACATCCATAATTCAAAAACTATTGATCGGATCAAGTTGATTTGACAACCGTTGGAAAGCTGAGCTCATTCTGATCAATTTACATATAAAAATCATCGATATTTGTCATACGGTTCAAAAATTATTTTTTTTTACTTTTTTACTGATTTCGTCCAAAAACATTACGTTATCGGCCATTTTTGGGCTGAATCTAAATTTTAATTCAAAGTACAATTAAAAACGAAGATTAGCCCTAGGCTATGAACATTTTTTTCCCGAAAAACCCTCTCTTCTGCCCTGAATTCGCCTTTGAAAGTTAAAAAATCTCACCCCCAACATTTTCGACGCATTTTTCACCCCTTAAAACTCAAATGGGCAAATAGGTTATATCCCACGGAAGTTGCGCCTGATCCTATAGATTCCATTGGCACATAGTGTTGGCCCCCCATGTTGCCCCAGTTCGAAGGGCAGGGGTCAAAATGGGAAAAAAGTAGAAAACTACCCCAAAGTGGGTAAACCTCACCCCTCATCCCCAAAATAATTGCATTTTTGGATTCTTCGTCGAAAATTAGCTATACCTCCCAAACATTAGTTTTTGAGAAAACCCCTCACTTTGGCCCAAATACATCTCTGAATGAACATTGGGAAAATTGATATTTTTCCATACAGTGATAATTGATAAGAGCTATCATGGCCCTTATCTCCTTACTGATAAAAGATAAGTGATAACTGTCTGCAGCAAAATTGTAGGTTCCAACGAGATCTAAAACTTTGCCGAATAAAGTTCTGCTCCATCGCATATGGGGTACGAGTTATGGGAGAAAAACCTACAAAACGCAAAAAATCCATATAAATGTATGGAAAAATATCAATTTTCCCAATGTTCATTCAGAGATGTATTTGGGCCAAAGTGAGGGGTTTTATCAAATACTAATGTTTGGGAGGTATAGCTAATTTTCGATTCAGCCCAAAAATGGCCGATAACGTAATGTTTTTGGACGAAATCAGTAAAAAAGTCAAAAAAAACGTCCAAAAATCTAGAAAAATGCTGATAACTTTTGAACCGTATGACAAATATCGATGATTTTTATATGTAAATTGATCAGAATGAGCTCAGCTTTCCAACGGTTGTCAAATCAACTTGATCCGATCAATAGTTTTTGAATTATGGATGTGAAAATGAAATTGACACTTCATAGGTGCGCAAAATACTTACAGGAAAAAACTTGCAGACTCGATTTTAACGATAGAGATATGGTTCCTTGGGCAAATTTTCTTGGAATGACCCATAGAACACGGAAATCATAGGTATTTGGTCGATTTTTTTCACTCCCTACAAATCGACCCGCCCTAATATATAGCCATATATTGCGGATTTTGACAACTTTAATTTTGGCCCATACTCGTCCCCTATTGGTTATATCAACATCTTCAGCAAAGTTGTAGCCAAGAGTCCAAGTAACAAAATTTATGAACATTCTATACCTCAAAAATTGCATCTGACTAGGCTTATAGGGCAAAATGTCGAGAAAAGGGCGATTTTTTCCATTTTTTCGACCATAACTCGTAAAAAATATCCATTTTTTGTTTTCTTTCGGCATTATTGTAGCCAGCGTCAAACTAAACAACTCTCTTGAACACATTAATCCAAGAAAATCAAATCTAGCTCACTTTTTTGGCTCAAAGTCACTTGTCGCTACCAAACGATATCATCGAGCATTTTTGGAGTTCTATAACTTCTCAACTACTCAAAATAGAGCAATAGTTTCTGAAGCAACTTTTTAGTACTTCTCATGGGATTTGCAGACCCAGTACTAAAAGTACTAAAAGAGTACTAAAATGTACTAAAAACTACTAAATCCTCTCAATGGTTCTAGACACCTGTAGGTGATGCTACGTAGTACTAAATAGTACTAAAATTGATAGAATTGAACTGTTACAGACCCTCATGAACGTTACTCGCTGAAATATTTGGATAAACTTTAAAAATATTACAGTTCAAACAGCTGACAAATCCATGAGATGTACGGGGCCAATATTGAACTAAATACCGATATTTCATCGAAGGCCTATCCTGTGGCATATATGGTTTCGCTCGCCGGGTGTAACCCACAGTGATGTATCCTTGTAAATATATTAAAATCTATCATTCAAATCCTTTTGGGAAAATGAAGAAAAATCGATACAATTTCAATAATTGAGTGAGTATCTTTTTTCACGATGGATTTCAAATCAAATTCGAAAAATTATCAAGTTTTGAGGCAGTTAAATATTCATTCTTCTACGACCTACGCGAGTTAAAATACGACATTGAAGTAATAAAACTGCTTATTCTGGCAAAGCAAGCAAAGTTCACATAAATATCATTTTTTTGCGAGAACAAAAAACAGAATAAATGAAATACTAAAATTCTGCTACCGGTCCAAACTCAACTTCTATGACTGTGTATATGTCAAATGGGCCAAAATCGTATTGGCAATGTAGGCAAGAAGAAGTATTAAGTTTTGTCAATAATTTCTAAGAAATATTTGCGTCCGAATCATTGATATTTTTAAAACCTAGGGGAATTTATCATTCAATGCAGTTTGTATGATTGAAGTGTTTTTTCCAA